TGGTCAAACGGTCAGAAATTGGCGACCAACTTTGGCCGCTATTTTGGTCAAAATAGTCAATACACATTGGATACCAAAATTTGCGACCAACGTTGGTCGCTTTTTTAAAAAACAGAGTGTAAAAAACTGGTTTCCCCTCCCATTCTCTTATTTTCTTCAAAACATTTCCCCAATCCCTCTCTTTTCTCTCTCACTCTCAAACACCCCCTCCCCTTCCGTCTTCCTCCAGCAGCGGCGCTACCGCTTCCACTGACGCCCGCCGGTGGCAGCTGCTCCACCGCCGGTGTCCTTCACTGTCCAGGTAGGTTTCTCTCTCCTTTCTTTGTTTTTTTCGAAATACACTGATTTTGTTTAATTCCTTCTAGTTTGATTTGTAAAAATTAATTGTTCTTAGCTAAATTAAATCTATGATAATTGTTAGTAGCTACTAATTTAGTTTTACCTACTAATTTGGGGATGAAATGGTTAGAAGAGAAGAAACCCTAAACTTTTAGGGTTTATGATTTTTTTCTTGTGAATTATAACCCTAAACTTTGAACTATAACCTTGAATCTTTGTATTGTCTTGAACCTTTAGAATATGAATTGAACCTTTTAGGATATGAGTTGAACTTTTAGGATATGAAGTGAAGCTTTTATGTATGAGTTAAATTTTTAGGATATGAATTGAACCTTTTAGGATATGAGTTGAACTTGTAGGATATAAAGTAAAGTCTTAGCATATGTATTGAACCTTTAGTCATATGAATTGAACCTTTTAGGATATGAGTTGAACTTTTAGGATATAAAGTGAAGCTTTTATGTATGAGTTGAATTTTTAGGATATGAATTGAACCTTTTAGGATATGAGTTGAACTTGTAGGATATAAGTGAATCTTTATGTATGAGTTGAATTTTTAGGATATGAATTTGAACCTTTTAGGATATGAGTTGAACTTTTAGGATATAAATTGAACCTTTAGCATATGTATTGAACCTTTAGCATATGTATTGAACCTTTAGTTTATGTTTAATCTCGTAGGATATGAATATAACTTTTAGTTTTTAGGTTTTGTTCTTGTAGAAGAGGTTGATGACGTTATTAGACATGCAAAGGAACTTCCACCAAGAATAACTAAGACACAGTACCTGGTGGAATGTGCCTTTAATTGTTCTTCTCATTAGTGACAATGATGATGAGAAGGCAATGGCATGTGTTTAAAATATTGATGGTGTAGGTAGGAATTTAATATTTCCTAAGTAGATAAAAGAAGAGCTTATAGAGGAATTCTGTACTTCATTTTCCATGAGGAAAAGAAGTTTAATTGAGAGTGACAAGGTTGATGAAGAAGCATGGTGTTCCATTGGTCATGGTAGTTCCCATAAAACGGGGATCATGACACTCTATGATGACAAAGATTATAGGAAGTTTTGTACTCAACTTTCTTTCGAGTCTGATCCGTACAAGCTTAATGTGATATTGGTGATATTTCTTCGGATTTAGAGAATGAACAATATCACATTAAGCTTGTACGGATCAGACTTGGAATAAAGATGAGCACAAAAACTTCCTATGATCTTTGTCATCATAGAGTCTTATGATCCACGTTTTATGGGAATTGCGATGACCAATGGAAAACCTTCCATCTTCATCAACCTTGTCACTGTCAATCAAACTTCTTTTCCTCTTGGAAAGTGAAGTAGAGAATTTCTCTATAACCTCTTTTATCTACTTAGGAAATGTTAAATCCTACATACACCATCACTATTTTGAAATACATGTCGTTGCCTTCTCATTATCATTGTAGCTAATGAGATCAACAATTGATCAAAGACACACTCTGCCAGGTACTGTATCCAAGTTATTCTCTGTATCAAAGCCACCAGACAGCTTTATGATGCCAATGAAGCAAGGAGGGTCGAGCCTCGACTACATACATGTAAGTTTTTTACTTTTCATTAAGTATTTTGATTTACTTTTATATAAATTTTGACTAGAACCGTTACGTTATGACTAGAACCTTTAGGATATGACTTGAATTTTTGTTTATGAATTGGAATTTTTGTTTATGAATTGAAATTTTAGATTGTTAATTGAATTTTTTTGGATATGAGTTGAACCTTTAGGATATGAATTAAAATTTTGGTTTATGTATTGGAATTTTAGATTGCGGGAGGATTTTGTAGAAGGGGTTGATGGTAATATTAGACATGCAAAGGAACTTCCACCAAGAATAACTAAGACACAGTACCTGGCAGAGTGTGCCTTTAATTGTTCTTCTCATTAGCGACAACGATGATGAGAAGGCAAGAACATGTGTTTCAAATAGTTATGGTGTAGGTAGGAGTTTAACATTTCCTAAGTAGATAAAAGAAGAGGTAATGGAGGAATTCTATACTTCATTCTCCAAGAAGAAAAGAAGTTTAATTGATAGTGACAAGGTTGATGGTGATGGAATATTTTCCGTCGGTCATGGCAGTTCCCATAAAACGGGTATCATAAGACTCTGTGATGACAAAGATTATAGGAAGTTTTGTTCTCAACTTTCTTCCAAGTCTGATCCGTACAAGCTTAATGGGATGTTGGTGATATTTCTTCGGATTCAGACAATGATTTGTCAGTCAAATATAGCGACCAGGCATGTTTGGTCGCTTTTGGGCCTATAAGCGACCAACTTTGGTCGCTTTTTGTGGTCGCTTTTTACCGGATTTCTAGTAGTGTATAATATAACTTAAAAAATCGGTTCTAAGAAAAACTTAGCTTTTATAGTGAATAATTATTATATAAGGATGATGTTATAGATAGATCTGAGGTTGATATTCAATTTATTAGCAAATGATACTCTGCTTATCACTTTATTACTTGTTGACTATATATACTTTCGTATGTGTTTGGCCCAACAATAACTACAAAGCAGGACCTATTTAATTCCATGGTGGCAACTGCACATTTCGTTCGGGTTTTATTTAAGTATTTGTTAGTATCAAATTTCTAGCCGCCAAATTTGAAAGTCTTGCTGGGCCATACTTTCAGATTACTAAAAAGAAAATATTGATATTTTGGCTTCACAATAATTAGTCCACAATACTAATAATTACATCATTATTGCTCTCTAGTCAGCTGAATTATTTTGCCTATGAATAATTAATGGTCAACAGGAAAGTAAACAAAGTCTGCTTTAATCAGATGTTGACAAACAAAAGTTGCAGAAAATATTATACTATTTGTCTTTCCGTTTATTGCCAAAACAAATGCCTATAAAAGACCATACGCAACTAGACTTTGAAGAATCATCGAATAATCCTCCATTTGTCTCCGAAAATGCAATTCTTCAGCTTGGTTTCCATTTTCCTATTCCTATCTTTCCTATTTTTGTTGAGGAAATGGAAGAACTCTAATAGCCAAAGCAAAAAATTGCCACCAGGTCCATGGAAAATACCAATACTAGGAAGTATGCTTCATATGATTGGTGGAGAACCGCACCATGTCCTTAGAGATTTAGCCAAAAAATATGGACCACTTATGCACCTTCAGTTAGGTGAAATTTCTGCAGTTGTGGTTACTTCTAGGGAGATGGCAAAAGAAGTACTAAAAACTCATGACATCGTTTTTGCATCTAGGCCTAAAATTGTAGCCATGGACATTATCTGTTATAACCAGTCCGACATTGCCTTTAGCCCTTATGGCGACCACTGGAGACAAATGCGTAAAATTTGTGTCATGGAACTTCTCAATGCAAAGAATGTTCGGTCCTTCAGCTCCATCAGACGTGATGAAGTCGTTCGTCTCATTGACTCTATCCGGTCAGATTCTTCTTCTGGTGAGCTAGTTAATTTTACGCAGAGAATAATTTGGTTTGCAAGCTCCATGACGTGTAGATCAGCATTTGGGCAAGTACTCAAGGGGCAAGACATTTTTGCCAAAAAGATCAGAGAAGTAATAGGATTAGCAGAAGGCTTTGATGTGGTAGACATCTTCCCTACATACAAGTTTCTTCATGTTTTCAGTGGAATGAAGCGTAAACTTTTGAATGCCCACCTTAAGGTAGACGCCATTGTTGAGGATGTCATCAACGAGCACAAGAAAAATCTTGCAGCTGGCAAGAGTAATGGCGCATTAGGAGGCGAAGATCTAATTGATGTCCTACTAAGACTTATGAATGATACAAGTCTTCAATTTCCCATCACCAACGACAATATCAAAGCTGTTATCGTTGTAAGTACTATTCAATACTACAATCCTATGCTTATTCTTACTCCCGTATTCATTGCCATAGCTACAAGATTTTTAATTTTTTCTAGAAATAAGAATCTCTTGTTAGAAAAATAATCTAATATTGCAACTTGGCAATTATTAATTTGCAGGACATGTTTGCTGCCGGAACAGAAACTTCATCAACAACAACTGTATGGGCTATGGCTGAAATGATGAAGAATCCAAGTGTATTCACCAAAGCTCAAGCAGAAGTGCGAGAAGCCTTTAGGGACAAAGTATGTTTTGATGAAAATGATGTGGAGGAGCTGAAATACTTAAAGTTAGTCATTAAAGAAACTTTGAGACTTCATCCACCGTCTCCACTTTTGGTCCCAAGAGAATGCAGGGAAGATACGGATATAAATGGCTACACTATTCCTGCAAAGACCAAAGTTATGGTTAATGTTTGGGCATTGGGAAGAGATCCAAAATATTGGGATGACGCGGAAAGCTTTAAGCCAGAGAGATTTGAGCAAAGCTGTGTGGATTTTTTTGGTAATAATTTTGAGTTTCTTCCCTTTGGTGGTGGACGAAGAATTTGTCCTGGAATGTCATTTGGTTTAGCTAATCTTTACTTGCCATTGGCTCAATTGCTCTATCACTTTGACTGGAAACTCCCAACCGGGATCAAGCCAAGAGACTTGGACTTGACCGAATTATCCGGAATAACTATTGCTAGAAAGGGTGACCTTTACTTAAATGCCACTCCTTATCAACCTTCTCGAGAGTAATTTAATATTGGCATAAACATTTTAAATTTCCTTCATCAATCTCATTATTGTACAATAATCTTTCTTCTGTTGTTTTAGGCTTTATCGATTTCCAATACATGTATTCTTTATTAAAAAATGTATCGCATTCCATGTATAAGGATGATGCTTTAATTTAATGGTGCCATTATATTGCCGTAAATTGTACCATCTCAGAACTTCTTCAGATTTTATGGTAACTTGTGCCATCTTAGAACTTCTTAAGATTTACTTACACTGCTCCAGTGCTAGATTAGTTTAAAAGAGTTCAAACAATCAGCACATCATTTCAAAGAACTTGTTAGGTTGACATTGTTAAGACTTTTTGTCAAATAACATATAGAAGGCAAGAAAGTGGCATGGCATAAAGGAGAAGCATATGCAACAAGAACGGTTACCTGGATGGTTAAACTTGATAACTGAGGAGAACACTTAGTCAAGAATGAGAAGAAGCAAAGGCCATCACCCTCTTCTGTGGCGATGTCCAATTCCAACTCTTTCAGTGGCAAAGTTGAGAGTATACATTGGGAATGACCCAGCATTTCCTAGATAACTAACAAGATTTGAAAGAAAACCATGTTAACAACTTAATTTGAATATCGAAGCAGACTACAAGTGAGGAAAGAAGAAAGAGGGTAGATGTATGCTACAACCTCATATGACACTTCCAGTTTAAGCTTCTTCAAGATTTCGACAATAGCTAGAGTGCTTGTGAGCATCAAAAATAAAAGAATCACATAATCTCCTCCAACAGTTAGCTGAGAGAAGAGGGGAACTTTTCTTGAAAGGCACTTTGATAGTACGTCCAATGTATGTAAAAGACACAAGCTCTGCAGCATGAATCTTCATAGTCTTCAAAGCTTCACAATTTGATATTTCTATGGACCTAGACTTAGATAATGAACGAGCTCAAGAAATCGGAATTCAATAACGTCCTGTATTATGTGGACATTAACAAATCGGAAAGATTTGAGAGTCGCCAATGTTCTCAGCAAATTAACCGCTCAATAAATGCACCCTCATGAAATTTCAACAAACTTTTCTGCTGCCTCAATTTCAAATGTGTCGTCGTTATATAATTCAATTCTGCAAATTGTATGTTCCCATAAGTATCTCCAGCGCTGCGAGAGAATACAGGTCTTTGCTGCCTCGTGGAAGTTCAAACAGCAAAGTATGGCAATAAGCAACTCATCAGGCAAGTCGTCAATCCCATACTTGGAGAGATTCTGCATTTTCAAAATAAGAAAAAATAAAGCATTATTCATTAGCCTAGGAGTGGAATAAAAGGTGTTGGAGGTAGAACTATAGTTTAAAAGTATGTTATCTTCCGGCGCTTAATAAAGGGGGTAGGAGGCATCAGATCATCCATCTTACTTCAACAGAAAGTAGATAAAAGGCCACAGAATTGTTGTATAGTTTCAACATCACTGGTAATTTTGATAACGAAATTAGTACCACAAGCAGAACAAAAGAACACCAAATCAGTGCATAGAATGCAATTTATCAGAAAACCAATGAATAGAATGCAAAGATCAGAAAGCATGACCGAAAACGAGCTGAAGAATACAGAGAAGAAAGGTGAAAATTCAAATATTTTAACTTCTTATCATTTAATCACATGTGTTCATAACGAAAAGGAAGGGTTTAATCTTGAGCAAATTAAATTTAAACACCCTTATAATATGACTGCGTTATAGACACACCCCTTGTATTTCAAAAATCAAACACTTAATATCCCTATAAAATGTAAATCCTACATAAAAGTTAACGGCGTTACACTTGGTTGCTAACTTGAAGCCTTACTTCAAAGAGTAGACCAAAGTCAACATTTGAGCTAAACGGATTGAGAATCATGATTTGAAGGTTCCTATAGGTTCGTATGATGATTTTGGACTTGTACCTATGTTCGGTCTAGCACCTGGGGGCTCAATCCCTCCTTTCTTTCCCCTGCCTCAGGACACCTTGGAATAGATTTGATTGGAAGGAGGGTGCGGAACAAATACGTTGGTTTGACTGCTGGGATTTCATTGGGATGCATCAGTGAGAAAAGGAACTATCGAATAATGAGTGACTCGCTTTGTCGCTGTGGGAAGAATTGCAATACTCCGTTAATCTTTTCCCTTTCATTCATATAACATGTCATTATGGCTAAATTGCACGTTTGCTTGTATAGACTTGTTTTTATATAGAAAAACCAAATTAATACAAAAAACAAGAATCTGCGGAAATCATGATTAAGGCCGCTGGGAACACAGATAAGCGAATGCCTAAGCAATGAAAATCATTTTCGTCTCCAGAATATCAAAACAGTACTTAAAGGAAGCTTTCTCGCAACCCCAATCCCGTTAAATTTGGGGCTAATTCTTGTCAACAGAAGAATCCATTTCAAACTAGGATATCAATCAAGAATTTATTTCAGCAAACATTGTGGACTTAAGGAAATGGTTCTATTACTGAAATCAGAAAAGCTCTCTCTTACCTCTTTGATGTTGGTATTGATAAATCTTCAAAGCTTTCCGTCGGAGCTATCTTTGCCAAGTTTTTATTTTATATAAATACTACCTCCGGTCCAAAATAAGTGATTTTTGGCAATTTTTTTTTGTGGTTCAAAATAAGTGATTTTTCCAAATTTCAAGAATGAATTAATTATTTTTTTTCTTCATTGTCCTTGGAGTAAATAGTGTTGAAATATATGTTAGGAATGTTTATGTGAGATAGTAAAGGTTAATATGGTCAATTCCATTGTTAATTAATGCTAAAAGGTGGATTTCTTAATCTGTGTGAAAATATCCAAAAAATAACTTATTTTGGACCGGAGGAAGTAATAAAGTAGGCTTGTACCACGAGGGTCAAACTGGATAAGCTTATAAACTAGTCAGATTGGCTTTTTGGTAAACACTCAAAGCGCTTATAAGCACACTTTTAATTTGATCAACACTTTTACTAGTTTATACTTAATAATATTTTTTAATTCATAAAAAAATTTTGTCAAGATAAATTTTCTAAAGTCTTCTTTATTTCATATTGTTGTTCATTCTTTTCATTACAAAAAAAAAAAAAAAAAAACTTTTTTTTTCATAATCTTTTTTAAAGTTTTTAAGAATATTTTAGTTATTTTAATAAAAAAAATGCTTATCTCACTTTTCTACCAAACACATCAACTGTTTATTAGCAATTTTAACATATCCAGGGGCAGATTCACGTATATTAAAGCGATGTCATGTGACACCGCTTCGCCAAAATATTTTACCAAATATCATACAAATAATACAAAAATTTATCAAATACATATATATAGACAAGAGTGACACCACTTAACACAACTCTGTTCTTGGTCCAGTGGTTTAGCTCCTGCCTTAGAACTCCTGACCTCCTATAAACAAAAATTTCTTATAACCAGTGGGATAGCGCCCATTTGTTCCCTTTTTTAAATGTGACACCGCTTGCAAAAAGTTCTGCGTCCGGATAAAAAACGGATTAACCGGCGGATAATATGGGTAACCATATTATCCATGAATTCTTGCATATGATCACTTTTGGGAGAATTCTGAGTCTCCTTAACTTGAGAAACCCCCAATTTGAGGTTTTACAAATGTAAATGTTACACTCATTCTTACTCATTGGTTATCTATTTTCTAAATGGATAATATGGTTCTTATCCATATTTGACCCATTTTTAAAAAGTTCATTATCCAACCCATTTTTTAGTGGATAATATTAGTGGTTAACTGTTTTAACCATTTTGCCACCCCTATGTACATGCATATTAGGAGCGTAACTCCGTGAATTAGTGTTTTCTATTAAGTAAGAAAATATTAAATTAAGACAAATAAATAAAAAAATGAAAGAAAAGGCCCGAAAAAAGAACAACTTCACCCCCATAGCTATGCATCCTTCATCGGCCAGTCATCACCTTAACGATTTCAAAAAAAAATAACATAACCACCTTCATCCTTACCATACAGTGGCAATATCCATTGTTGAGGTTGACCAAGACGATGTTGTAAACTGGTTGAACGAGGCAGCTCACGAGTTGACCAGATTGGCTTTTTCAGCCAAGTCGTTTGTTAGGTGATGATGACCCAATTGAAGTACGTGCATCTTCAAATTTTGGTAACCTTTGAATCGAAATAACTGTGCCCACTAAATTTAATTGGTGTTAGGATAAAAACGATTTATTCTTTTCGGTGTCTTTTTCGCAATAAAAAGAAAGTGAAAGGAAGCTAAAAATGTATAATACGTGGGATCTCTCTAAACTCTCTATGGCCCTAGAACCCAGAATCATCAATAAAATTAATGCTACACAAATTAGTAACAAATCTTGTGATACTCCGTTTTGGGCATTGAACTCAAATGGTCTATTCACTAGCAAATCATGTTACTCCCTCCTAGATAATCAACTGGTCTGCAACAAGGATTACACTCGGATTTGGGACATTAATTGTCCAAACAAGATAAAATTTCTTCTGTGAAAAGGTTACCATAATAAACTTCCAACTAGGAGCTTCTTAAATCATATAGCTATTAACATAAACCCCATATGCTCTACTTGCAAATCTGATAAAGAAACTATTAAGCACATTTTCTTAGAATGCATGGCAGTCCATCAGTTATGGTCTTACCTAGGTATTAATCCCAATAACCGGAACGGTGCCACAGATTGGCTTACTTGTATCCGTAATCACAAATCAACTTTCAAAAATCCTATTAGTTCTTGGCACGACCTTTTTCCATTTGTCATTTGGATAATTTGGATAAACAGAAACAATAATCTTTATAATAACTACACACACTCCCCTAACATTCAATGGGCCATTAAATTATCAATTGAGTTCAAACTTCTAACTGGTAAAGAAAACTTTAAACCAGCAAAAATTCCCAAAAGTATTAAATGGAACAAACCCCCTAGAGGCTCTATCAAGCTCAAGATTGACGGTTCCTTCAACGAAGACCAATCACTTTGTGGTTATGGAGGGGTGTTCAGAGATTGTGATGGCCAGTGGATAGCCGGCTTTCATGGAAGATCATCAGGAGCATCCGCACTGAAGGCGGAATTGTTGGCCTTAAATATTGGTCTAAAAACTGCCATTAAGCAAGGTTTTACAAAGCTAGAAGTAGAAACGCATTCAACCGATGTTATTAACTGTTTGGACAATGGAATATTATTACTTAATGACATTGTTAATGAGTGCAGATGGTTAATGAGGCAAGTGAAGGTCCAGGGAATACATCACATATTCAGGGAGGCAAACAAGCCGGCACACATGTTGGCTAAGGAAGGACAGAAGGGAAACAGCAACAACATGGATACTATTGTTACCTACTACGCTCCGTATTTTGTAACTAACTTCATGAAATCAGACTGTGAAGGAAAAACTTATGCTATTAGGTTCCTTAACAAGGATGTTTGTTCTAGGTTAGCAGCTTTTGGTAACCAAAATGTCCTACGGGACATGTTATTGGTTTGTAATAGCCAAGTAGGTGATGCCCCCCCGGGCAATCTGAATAATACTACCGCTACCTCTACTATTTAGTGCTATATATATATATATATATATATATATATATATATATATAAGATATCCCTGTTTGTCAAAAAACAAAGGAAGCTAAAAATATGGGGGAAAAATTCTTTAGAGGATTTTGGAATTCTTCATTAATGCAACACAAGGGACTAACTCAGAGTGAATTTTTCGGTGATGTTACTTGTTGTTCTATGTTCCTGGTTCGCTCGTTGTTTAGGTTCGAGCGAGGAGATCGTCGGCCAATGGTTGAAGGTGGCTTGTTTGACCAAAAAGTATGACACCTTTTGTTAAACTAATTAAATAAAACTATGATAGGTAAATCCTAGTTAAATATAATAAATTCTAGATCTAACACGTGCTTGTATAAATAGTATAGAATGATCGTTTGAGCCAATTTAATACAAATGGTATTAAATGATGCTGTCAAGAATGAATGGAGGAACAATGATGAGCAATAACTATATTAAATGGCAATACGTGTAAATAGAGAGAACGATTCACCCAAATGTTGAATGAGGTGGATGATTCTCTTATCTGACAACGATGTAAGACAAATGGGTATTGAAAAATATGAGGTTTTCTCGGATCTGATGCGAGAGAAAAAGGTGGAATGAATAGCAAATCGAATCCTTATGGAAAGGTAATATTTTGGATTATCTCTCTCTAGAGTCAACTTTTCATTCGAGTGCTTATCAGAATCAACATTACCTGCCTTTTGCCTTCTCTGTTCTACTATTTATATGGGATATTCCCAAAAATCCTAAAAAAGTATAGCAGAGGGAATATTCAACAGAATATTCTCTTTGAAAGTTCCAAAGTTGTACTAGTCGTTATTCCCTTTCCTGCTGCTCGCCCTCGACCTTGAGAGCTTATTCGGAGGCTCCATATTGTCAAGCCCGGGTCGACCTCGTCCTAGTCGCCCATGATGGGACACAGTTCTCACACTTGGTCACCTCTTCATGCCGAATTTCCTTAGCCGGATTTTGACCCACATAGTTAGTCCTTCCGCTTATCGAGGTCGTCTTTTGGTCGATCTCAATAAGCAGACTTCATCAATAGCAATTCTTGAGAAATTCGGACGTGGAGGTCGAATAGTGGTGATCGTTGCTGAGGTGATGATGTGTCACTCCGAGAGCTGTAGTTAGTGAGGCAGGTTCAGGATGACGTCACAGCTGCATGCGTTATCATTACGCGTCTTCCCGATGCGTTGCATCATTCCTTGAGCCTCTATCGTTTCGATTCTAGTGTTGTTTGACAGTTGATTGCCCGATTTGAGCGTCGTGATTTTTGTATAAATAAGAAGGGGGGGAACCTTTGGAGAAAATTTTTACCCTCTCTGATTCTTCGATCTTTCCCATTGCTTCTTCTCCTTTGTCTTGTGTTCATTTTTCCTGCAACTTCCGTCATCATCATTTCTTCTACACTTTCGTCTCCGCCGTATACACATTAGCAAAAGATGACTGGTGTAACTCCTAACCCTGAGATGATCTCAGACCCAACTCCTCTATCAATGGCCATGCCTTCTGGCGGAGGGGAGGCCATTGTTATAGAGGATGAAAGCTTCCCTACTGTGGAAGAGATAATTCCTCGTAACCCAGGCTCCAGGTCGGATTTTTCGAAGGAACCTGCGCATGACCCTGAGCCCCAGAAGTCTGAGATGGAAGCAAAACATATAGCCACACTCAGGGCCAAATACAACATCCCCGCACACGTCGACCTGGTCCCAACTGGGAACAACATGATCCAGGTTCATCAGCCCGGGTATTGCGCGTTTAACGCATATCCGTTCCAAGTGGTTACTCTCTCCCTCTTCCTCCGTTGGCGGAGGAATTCTGCCGTTACTACGGCATCTGTCCTACCCAACTATCCCCCTACATTTACAAGCTTTTCCTTATGCTGATAAAGTTTGTAGAGCTGGCCGGCTGTGAAATATCTATTCGCCATTTGTTGTATCTCTTTGCACCAAGCTTCCATAGGGACACGATGATACATCTTCGCCACCGCGGGACTAAGGGGCTAGTGGCAGGAATGGACGATAAGG